ATGTTATACTGTTGTTAAAAAATAAATAAATTTTAAAAATTGTCAAAAAAAAATGGGCAAAGGACTTAGTGACATTTCTCCAAAGAAGATATGTGAATGACCAAGAAGCACATGAAAAGATGCTCAGCAATCTGGGGGATATATTATATTGCCCTAGTTTTGGAGTGAGTGTGGTCAAGTTGGGGAAGTGGACAAAGGAATGAAAAGATACAATGTCCAGAAGATGTCTGGCATTCCTTACAAGTCCAGCTTCAGACTTTCTGATTCCTCTCCATGCATCCTTTTGATTTCATCTCCCTCTACTGCCCGAACTTCCTTCTGCTCCAACCAACAGGTCTCCTTGCCTTGGGCTTTCCTACTTCCGGGCCTTTGCCTGAGCTGTTTCCTACATCAAGAATTCCTTCTCGACACAACATTGTAAAATGATTATAAATCAATAAAAAAAGTTAAATGCACTGTTAAAAAAAAAGAATTCCTTCTCTATCTCCCTTTGCGTTTCTCTCAGCCTGTGAAAATCCTATCCATCTCTTACTGCTTTTCTCTCCTCCACCAGGAAGCCACGTGTGATCAGGAAGTGACTTCTCCCACTCCTGATATGTAAGGGTACTTACTACTGATATCTCTCCCATGGCACTTAATTATCATTCAGTGGAAGACATTACAGTCACTTGAATGCCTACCCAAAAGAGGGGAGGGAAGGTGATATCTTTGCATTCTTAGCTACAGTAGTGGCCACTTTGCCTCCAGAGACAGAGGAGTTCCCCTGTCATTCTGGGGGGCCATTCTGGGGGGATATGGCCAAGCTAAGACTACTGGAGTCTTCTTGCTGTTGTCCAAGAATACCCTACCTCCACATTGGAGTCCAACATAGGGGAAGCTGGAGAGGATGGAAGGAAAGAGACACAGAAGCAAGAACCTCAGCTGCTCGCCCCACTGTAAGCATCAGGACTGTAAAGCACTGCTATATGTGTCAGATATAGACCTTCTGGAGGCTGCCATGTACAACCAAGACCACAAGTGAATATGGTCCCAGCCAGAGTTGGACAAGAGGGCTG